AACACTGGGGACAGAGTGGTGAGCAAGCAAGCCTCTGTTGTGTCTCATAGCAGCCTGTTAGAGACCACCTACCTGGCTGAAGACATGTGGAAAGTCGGGGGCCTTGGAGCTGGCAGGCATAACACTGGGGACAGAGTGGTGAGCAAGCAAGCCTCTGTTGTGTCTCATAGCAGCCTGTTAGGGACCACCTACCTGGCTGAAGACATGTGGAAAGTCGGGGGCCTTGGAGCTGGCAGGCGTTTACCTCAGCTCTGGGGGAGAGGGACGTCCCTATGCTGAGGATGCCCTGGGTCCTCCCTGGGGCGGCTATGGGCTGAGTGATGACGCCTGTCTCCTGCCATGGAAAACCCTTCTCTCTGGGACTCTCTGGCAGTAGACCTGTCGCAGTCCTGATCGCCCCCGCACTGTTCCCTCTCATTTTCTTCCCCTGGGTCCTCCCTGGGGCGGCTATGGGCTGAGTGATGACGCCTGTCTCCTGCCATGGAAAGCCCTTCTCTCTGGGACTCTCTGGCAGTAGACCTGTCGCAGTCCTGATCGCCCCCGCACTGTTCCCTCTCATTTTCTTCGGGGAGATGTTTCAAGTGAATCACTGAAGAAAAGCACGTTCTGGTGTCGCCCAGCTGCCCGTTAGCACACTGCCCTCTTGTGGCGGGCTTTGTTCTAGGCGTTTTCCCAGGTAAATTCTGAGCTATTCGCCAACTACTTTGAAGCATACATAAGCACAAACTTTATTAGGAAATAGAGAAACTTAAGAATCCCCACATCCAACCGCTCATCTGACACACTCTGGCTTTTCTACTTCTGTGCCTGGAATGTCCTTTCTCACCCTTTCCGCTTGACTAATTGCTAATCTTTCAAGACATGGCTGGCACCACCTTCTCTGGGAAACCTTCCCATCTCTGCGAGCGAGGCTGGTTACTCCCTCCTCTGTAGTCCTGTAGCACTCAGATGTCTTTTATTTCTAGACAGTGCTTGCCAATTGAGCAAAGCTTGTCTCCTACATTGTTTCAGCACATAGGAGGGGCTCAGGAACACGCAGACTGTGGGTTTGTCTAAGGGCGCATTGGGTTTGGAGGTTTTCTGTACAGATGTGTACATCTGTGCAAAGGCAGAGGTGTGACTACAGAATGACATGAATAAATACATATCGACAGTAAAGAGAGACATAGGAGCATCCACGTGTGCACATATACACGCAGTGGGCTTGTGAAGACTCGGGGATTGAGTACTTTTTGGTGCATTTCATGTTGGATTTTCTGACCCAGAAAATAAGTCTGATAAGCACCCTGGTTTCCTTTCTCTGCACAATTTTTTAAAAAGATTATCAAAAGTAAAATATCCTTTCCACCCACCAAATGTTCACATTTTGCAGAAATATCTAGGTTTTCCTTCTGAAAACCTCTTCCAGACCTAATCTTTGCTCTTTGGCATTTGTGCATTTACAGGAGACAGCCTCCACCCAGTCTCTGGGGATGATCCCTGGGGGAGGTCAAAGATTAACAGTACCTGTATGACAGTCCCCGATACTGAATGAGGACATCTTGCATGTTGTTTGGTCTGGAGCCGATTCCATTGCCAGCCTTTGAAAAGATACCAAATTCGTAGGAAAATTAGCAAGTCAGAGAAAAAGGACGTTGTGAATACACAGGGCTTTCAGGGAGGTAGTTTCCAACTCACTACTATGGCCGAAGCAGAATGAGGGACCCAGAGCCAGGAGACATGGGCTCTGGTTCCACAATCCTCCTTCCCAACTGTGCGCCTTCCCCGACTCTTGGCTGCCTCGTCACTGCACTGAAGACAGCCTTGCTCATGTCACAGGTGTGTTTTGGGGACCAAATTGCATCATAGTTGTAAAATTGTTTTGAAAACTCTCAGGTGCTTTATGGATGTAAGAGACTGTTAATAGTGGTACTGCCAGTGTTAACACTAAGTTCTTCAGGAGCATGAAGAGCTCATAGACTCGAGCAACTATGGTGGACAGATTTCTCAAAAATTTCACACTTTTCCTCTTTCTCTCTGGGGCATTCTGTAAGGCATTCTCGAGGCCTTGGAAGTGCTGCCAGAAAGTGGTGATCTGGAGTAGTAAAATAGTCCCATTTCTTGGGAGTTAGGAGCAAGGTTTTATCCACAACTAAGCAGTCTTCGCTGCTTTCATGCAAATGCAAAGAGGAAACAGATGTGAGGGGCTGAGCTGATTGTAAAGCATGATCCAAAGAGAAAGAGCTCCCACACAGGCAGGCTGAGAATAATTCTAAGTCCAAGTGACCTATTTTTGCATTGGTTAAAAAAGTGTTGTTGGGTGTTCAAAACCTCTGCTATCTGACGCAATTCAGTTCACTCCTGAAAAAGATTTCCCCTGCACACCTGCTTGAGAAAGCAGTTGCAAAATCAAATCATTGCCATGCTTTTTAGATCGACAGAGCCAGGATCGAGGGGCAAGAAAATGCAGAGGACAGGAGTGCAGGCATTGGAGTTAGGAGGACTGGATCCTGGAACTGCCCAGCCACCCCCAACCTGTCCTGGGGCACAAGAGTCCTTACGGTCAGAGAATCCCCCAGAGCAGCCACAACTTGGACATCAGCAGGCCTCAGCGCATGCACTGGAAAGACAAGTGGACACACTTGAGTCTGTGGGAAAGAAGTCAGAGTCTAATGCTTCTTGCTTCAAAGAAGACCAGAAACATGACCTGCATGTGTGTTTGGGCCATGCAGGACTGGGTATCCATAGTGCCACTGAGGCAGAGGTTATATGAAGACAGTATCCCCATAAGAGACACAATAAACATATCCTGGACCTACGGGGGAGAGAGGTGCTCAGAGAGAGAAAGAGAGAGATGGAGGGAATAGATGGAGAGATGGATGGAGAGATGGACAGATAGGTGATGGAAGGAAGGAAGAGTAGGCAGAGTAGGATCCCACCACTTTAGTGCCAGTGGTCATGGGAGATGCCAGGCATGACCTGAGTGCACAAACAGATGGGTATTGGACCATCTGAGATGAGGCGCAGGGCCTGACGTTCAACCCATTTACAGCTGGGTTCTGGCTATCCACTAAGAATCTTAGGAATAATCCAGTCAGACCTTTTCCATCCCCAAGTTTCTTCTGAAGAGCCCAGAAAACCTTCCAGGCCCCATTGTAGGCTGCAGTGATCGCAGAGCCTGAGTCCACAAGGATGACCACAGAGCGAGCATCCTCTTGGGACTCCCTGGCCCATCCCCCACCGCTGGGCTTCAGCGAGGGCTCACCAGAGGGCTGGGCCACCCAGAGGGGGAGCTCACAAGGGTCCTCCATGTGTGTGCCCTTGAAGGGACTGAGGCAGGAGGGCAGGAAAGAGCCACTGGCCTCAGACCACTTGGGGCCTGCTGGGAATGATGTCACCACAGGCTCAAGCGGCTCTGCCCTGGTGACCCAGGGATCACCCCAGACAGGAAGCAAGCACTGGCCATAACTATGTCTTTTAGTAAGCATATGTGAAGTCTTGCCAGAGTGCTCGCTGGTGTGTAAGTCCTGGTGTGTCACAGGCACGTACCTGAGGTGGGGCGCACGCTGGAGGGACTTCTGTCTTTGCACGACAGCCAGGTACCATGACCCTAAGGGTGAAGAATGAATCTCAGGGTTAAAAGGGACAAAAGAGACTGGCTGGGCATCTTTCTCACCCAAAGAGCTTTTAAAAACACAGATTCCTGGCTATCTTCCCTCCTCCCCCAGGGAGGGGCCTCAAAAGGGCATTTGAACCAGGCTGCCTCGGTGATCTAGAGTATCCACCAGGGTGAAACCCACTAATCTAGTTCAGGTCCCTCCATCATCCCATGCAAGAATCAGGGCATCAACAAAATGCCCCGCACCCACCCGGCCCCGTGCTTCTGCACAGCTCTGTGAGGAGGGCTTCTATCTTCACTTATGTCTTGATGAAGCTGTGGTTTGAAAGTCTGAATGTCTATCCAGCTGTTCTCAATGGAGTTTACTCTGCCCTCTACCCTGTCTGCAGCTGTAGGCGGATGGATGGTCTTTATAAGAGTGGGCACCCCCTTGGCTGCCCACCGCATAGCCTGGTGAGCCAAAAGGAAGCAAGAAGTAGATACCTGCATGTTCTTGTTGGTTGTCAGAAACGGCCAGTTCTGTGGGAAGAGGAGAGGGGATCATGGCAGCCAACCGGCTTGCTTCTCTGCTTGCCAGCCCTCTATACGTGCCGGCCTGGGCCTAAACACCTCGGCCTCCCCCGATCCACATTCCCCAGCCCAGCCCCTCCCTGCCGGGCTGACCGCTGCAGGCTGCCTCCCTCTCAGCACATGGGGCCCTGCTCTGCAACCTGAGCCCAGCACCAAGGATTAGAATAAGCCCTTATGTGGCTTCCAGGAACATGCACATCTTCCCTCTACCTCCCACCCTGCTGGCTGGGGACGGCTGTGTCACCTTCTTCTCCAACCTACTGCCTCCCAACAGTGCACCTCTGCTAATAAAAGCCCCTGTCTCCACTGGCCAGACTCCAGGCTTGGAGGCGTCACAAGGACATGCTCTTCACTCTACCTCATTTGGACACTTGATACTGATCCTGCTTTGAAAATCATGCTGCCTTGTCTTTTGGCCGACAGGTTCCAGCTACACCAAGAAGCAGGAAGACAGGAGAGGTGGTGAGAAAGGAAAGGTCAGGATGGGTCGGGATGGAGGAGGGAGGGAGGGAAGGACAAAGGAAATGGAATTTATGATCACCGCTGTGCAGGATCGCAGCTTGAGCGATGGGCCTCTGAAGGCCTCTGAAGACTTTCCAGAGTCTTTCTCTTATCAGAGGGAGGATGATTTTTACTACCTGAACTCTCTTACCATGTTTCTCCAGAGGCCACTGGCCGCATGGCCATGAGTCTTTTTGCTGAAGTGGAAGCAGTCAGGAGCGAAGTAGGACCTGTCAGGCAACCCCATCTGGTCACCGGGTGGAAAAAGAAAGGCAGTTATAGAGACCTGGGGTCAGGTAAATGAAGTCCAGAAACAGCCGTGCACTATCTATGGCTTGCACTTATCCAGGATGTCTGCTTTCTTTACCGAGGTCACTGGCACCTCCAGGTTTTCAAAGAATGGCTGCACGACCACTGTGAAATCTTCCTTTGTGTCGTACCGCCCACTCTCCACCAGCTCCTGAGTCTTCACCTGCAGGAGGAAGACGGGACCAGGATCAGGCAGGCCTCTCTTCCAACAAGGATCTCCTTACAACCCAGAATCAAATGACTGCTGAGTGAAATTCATCTTCAGCAGTATCTTAGCTGATCAGGAGCCTGCTTGTTATTTTTCAGATTAGCCTTTATCTCAATCCTTGGCCCCAATCTCTGCTCCAAGTGCATGTGTTTGATCTAGCTTGTGAAAAGAAGGCAACAAAATAAAAAATAAAATAAAAAAATAAAAAATAAACCCTAAAAAAACTAAAACCCTAAGTCTATCAGCTTGACCCCCCCTTTAAAAGCTATTCTGATTAAAGACTTGGGTGATGGGGGGAGGCTGTTATTTTGTTAAATGACATTTTGGATAATCCTTTCATTGAATTTATTTCTGTGCTACATTTGCTGAGAAAACTCATAGGTAGATCAACAGCAACGTTGAATGTATACCTACATTGCTTGTGCATGGTGTGGGTATGCATGTGTGTGCTCCTTTGAGGCTCTCAGATCTATCCAGGAGGGTAATGGAGCTGTAGCCCCCACAGCTTCTGCGTGGGCTCAGTTACCCCAGTTACCCCAGTTCTGGCTTCCACTACTGCCAGACTCTGCCATTTCACTGCTCACCAAGGTTTCCACCATTTGGGGCCAGGACTCTGGCTAGAGGGGGAGTCAGGCTTGTGTACCTCAGAACATTAGTGTAGTCACTGCAGAAGACAACCACCCACTGTCTTTCTCAGAGTCAGCCAGAAAAGGGGCCCCTTTGCCAGAGATGCTCCATGTTTGACCTTGAGGTCCAGTCTCCTCCAGTTACAGGCAAAGCCTTCAGTAGGGCATCAGGGAAGGAAAGAAGGTGTCCTCTCAAAAGAGGGGAGGAAGGTGTGATGTTACTAACTAGCTGCATGACTTTCAGCAAGTCGCCTCCCTCTCTGGACCTCTGTTTCCTCATCTGTAAATGAGCCCTGGACCATCTCTTAAGCCCCTTCCAATTCTACTGGTTACTCTGGGGATCAGTTGTGATGTCTCACAGTGGAACCACACACATTTTGACAAGTGAAGGAAATAGTGTGTAGAGTCCCGACCATCTCTTAAGCCCCTTCCAATTCTACTGGTTACTCTGGGGATCAGTTGTGATGTCTCACGGTGGAACCACACACATTTTGACAACTGAAGGAAATAGTGTGTAGAGTCCCAGCACATGGTAAGTGCTAAAGAAATGACAATAGTTATGAACAGTGATGATCATCTCCAGGGAGAGTAAGGAAAACAATAGCTTTTGCAGGAGGTAGGGAGTGGCATGATCCCAAGAGAGGGCAGGATCATCTCCAGGGAGAGTAAGGAAAACAATAGCTTTTGCAGGAGGTAGGGAGTGGCATGATCCTGAGAGAGGGCTGGCTGGCCTCACGTAGCTGACATGTGAACGTCTCCAGGACATGAGATCAAGGTCTAAATGGTGACCAAGATCAGACCTAGGAACAGCTGGCCTATCTACAGAGGTCCAAAGGCAACTTTGGTGAATATTTCTCCTTTTTTACTTGGCTGCTCAGCATCTGAACCCACTTCCTATGTTTGAAGACCCGCCATTGTATGCGGAGCAGCCCGCCTCCCACTGTAGAAGCTGAAACAGACAAATGTTTGCTTTCCCGATGCCCCTTGCAGCTAGGGCATGGGCACATGACCGAGCTCCCCCAGTCCATGACCTGCCTTGGGGACAGCACAGAGTCCATTCCACTGAGGGTGGCAGCTGTATCCAGTTCCTAGAAGCAGTGACAATCATGTCCATGATGTCTTCACTGGACTAGGTCTCTGGCCTGATTTTGGTTCTTATGGCTTTGTCCCTAGAATTCCATGATCCTATGATTCCTAGTGGCTTGGCCTCTGACCCTCACTCTCTAGCTCTGCCAGATATTCTGTTTAAATGTTAAATTTGTCTAAATTAGTCAGAAACTGCATAAGCTTGTGTTGCTTGCACACAAGAACCCCAGATGAAACAGGGCTGTTCTCACGCCCACAACCTCAGCTGCCTTCCCTCTCCTGGTGCAAGCTGTGGACTACCAGAGTCCCAGGTGCCCGCTTGTGGCAGGAAGAGGTGCGGCTGGGGAGTCATCCACAGGGCTGGGCAGTGGCGACAAAGGATGACAAAGGTTCATTTCCCTGAACCTCTCATACGGGTGGGTATGGTTGCCCCCAGAAGAGTCTGCAGAGAAGTGGTGCTACTCCAAGGGGTCCATGGACTTTTGAAGGACGGATCAACTCTGGAGGCTGTTTGCAGTCCAGTCTGGAAGAAAGGCCTACCCTTGTCTTCTTCGAGAGACTGAACAATTGTTGGGGGAGGAACTCAAGATAGTCCAGGGAGTCAGCAGTTCTGGTCAAAGACTAGGTGGAGAAAGGACTAAAGCAAACGACCGCAAGACGGGGCTCGCCTGCTGACTTTCTTTCTGCTTGTACTCCCCAATCCCACCTGTTCCCACGGGAGGGGAGGGTGGAGGGAACACACATCCCACAGAATGCTTGCCGCCCTCTAGGGAGGGAAGCATTTCAGCCTGCATTCCCCACCCAGGAGCCCTAAGCTCGGAGAGGTTTCACTGCCTACTTGTCTAAGATCACAAAACAAGTGAGCAGAGCTTGAGACTGGACCTAGACAGACCCAATCTGAAACTTCTTTCCATCATATACATTTGTCTGTGGACAATTGAAAAACCTTCATTTTCATGTAAAGGCCATGAACTGAGATTCAGTGACATGTGTTCAGTGACTTGGCTCTGTAGCTTGATTCAAATAAACTGGACCAGAGCCCCTCCTGCCTCTTGGGGGTGTGTCTTTAAATCAGCAAACTAGCCAGCAGTCATCATCCACCCAGTCAGGGTCAAAATTGCCTGAGCTTTGACTGATTCTCTAAATAGAGCAGTCAAAGTACACACAGTGCTGTCAGTCTCAGAGCCCTTCCTGGCTTACCTGATAGTTCCTGTTCAGTTCCTTAAGGGTGGTAATTTCTGGTGCATCATCAGGAAACCTTATGACACAGGGACACACGAAGCTGCAGACCAAACAGAAGAGATGCCCTCACCCCACTAGATCACATTCTGAATAAGTGATGCAGGAACATTGGCTTGAGACTCAGTATATATTTCTTTCAACTTTGAGGTATTGAAAATCTGCACCTGTGGAGGGCCTGGCTGGCTAACCTGTTGACTGTACCAAATGAAGCTGAAGAAAATTTCCTAGACCTGGATTTGCCCTTGAAAATGAAACAGTTACTTCTCCTGACATCTGTAGGAGTGACTTCTACAAGTACAGAGGCTGTCTGAGAATAATGCTGTGCAGATGAGGCACACCTCCTTTTAAATAATAATAGTGGTCTGGTCAAGATAGTGGAATAAATGGTCTCCAGCATCACTCTCTTTCAGAAATCAGCCCATTTACAACTATATAAAAAAGCAACAGCAGCCAAGCTGGGGCCTCTAGAGCTCAGGGGAAGAGGAGGAGAGACCTATGGAGTGCATGAAGGCTGGAGAAGCCACGATGAGAGAAAGAAAAAAATGCTCTGACTACTTCGTGCCATGGCCGCTTTGAGGCTGGAGCTGCTGAGCGCATGGAGCAGGAGCCAGCAAAAGCCACAGCTGTGCCCTTCAGATGGAGTTGCTTGGAGGAGGCAGGAGAGAAGAAGGCCTTTGGGCCCCCAGGCCAGCAAGATCACTAATAGGGTTCCCATGGACCCACATAGGAGCAAGGAGCTACAACAACTGAAAAAATGGAGCCACTCAGAGGCCAGTGAGTCATCACAAGGGACTGGTGCACAGCCCATCCCATGGGAAGTGTTTGCAGCATGGGCAGTGGGAGAGATGGGCCCACTGGGGGAACACTGGGGCACAGTAAGGACAGCTGATCTGCATCCCAATCAGCATAGGACCACTCAGAGGAGATTGGTCGGGAATATAGAATTTCACGGGGTGCAGTTTGATGAAAAGACTCAGGCTCAGATCAGGGTTACTACACCACCCAGGTGCACTGAATCTCTGGAGAGCTGCAAGTACCTATAAAGTCAACCATTGTAACCTGTGCTGCACCAAAAGCCTTTCCTAGGGGAGCAGCAGTAAAGCAGCAATCCAGCTAAATCACAGAGCTCAAGTACTGGTCCCAACAGGAAGTTCCCCCACTTTAGAAGTAAGAAAAGGACAAAAAAATTAGTTCTGGCTCAGACACACCACTAGCGTCTCAGATCCACCCAGAGATGTGAGGCATGGAGCCAGGGACCAGATCCCACTCCCCCAACCAGGCACACCATGCCAGCACCTTGGGGGACACCCAGGGACCTGAGGTATGGAGTTAGGGACCGGATTCCCCTCCCCTCAACCAGGCACACCACATCAGTGCCTTGGGGCTGTGGAGCTGGGGACTGGACCCCCATCCCACAACCAGGCACACTGCCAGCACATCAGGGCCTGCCAAGGGACCCAAGGCATGCAAAAGGGGACCAGACCCCCCATCCACAACCAAGCACACCATGCCAGCGCCTCAGAGCCCACCCAGGGACCCAAGGCATGGATCCGGGGACTGGATCCCCCCCAACAACCAGGCACACCACCAGCCCCAAGGAGCATGCCAAAAACATAACCTTCATGTGGGTGGCCCATCACAGCCACCACAATAACCATGGCTGCTGCGAAAGCAGCTAGGCACTACAACAACCACGTAGATGGTCCTTCAGCCACTGGAGTACATTGACACAAGGAGAGTCACCAGCAGAGAGAAAAAAAAGAAGAGGATGTCTCTCTCCACAAAGCCCAATCCAGAGTGACAGAAGAAGCATTTGCTCTACGATAATATTGGGGGATCTGATCATACATCTCGGCATTGGACAGATCATCTAGGCAACAAATCAACTAAGTAACCATTATTCTTTCAGAAAGAGAGAAGATATCTGGGGTAATTAGAGGGGGGAGGGGGAAGGGGATGGGTGAAACTGGACAAGGGACATATAGAATAAGTATGATTCATAACAATATATAAGCTAGTAATATTGATTTGATCAACATACCTGAACGTTGAACCCCCAAAATATGTGTAATCAATTTTGATTCAATAAAAATTTAAATAATAATAATAATAATAGTGGCAAGAGCAAGAATAATAATAATAATAATTGCTAGTGTACATCGAATGTTAACTGTGCCAAGTGCTGTGATAAGAGCTTTATGAGTATTAACCTATTTAATCCTTCCAGCCATTCTAGAAGTTGTATTATCATTATTTCCATGTTATAGATGAGAAAACTGAGGCTCGGAATGGTTAAGTAACTTTCTCAAGGTTACATGTATGCTGAGTGTGGGCACCAGGGTGTGAACTTAAGTCTGTCTAGCTCTGAACCTGAGCTCTTAATCTCTGTATTAAACTGCTTCTGTCCAGTCTGCAGCTCTGATCTGCTGGCCATCTGGCAAATCTGGGCTTTTGGTCTGGAGGGATGAGGTGATAACAGTGTGGATGGCTCAGTGTAGACCCAGCACTGCCAAGGAAAGCATGGTCACCAAGACAGAACAAGGAGAGGCAGTGGGACAGGGTGACCCTGGGTCTGTCCAACCCTGACATGCAGTGCCTCGGCCATTTCAGATCTGCAAATGGACCTGGCAAATGCCTCCTCTGAACCTTTAGTTTCAATGGTCCAAAAACCCCTGCAGCAATCGGTGGCAAGAGCCTCTTAGGGAGCTCCTGTGAAATGACATGTATCCACTGAACCCCCAGTGTGGCCCAGTGACTGGAGAAAGTGGGAGCCAGGAGATGAGTCAGCTGTTGAAAATAGCACGTCTGACACCACCAGCTGCGGGAACAGGCACATGTCACGCAGAAGCCATCCTGTCTCTGCTCACAGCACTATGAGGCCTTCTCCAGAGGATCTGTGCAGTCTGGGCTCCCCAGGTAAGGTTTGGCAAGGATCTTCAGGGGAGCACTCAAAGTAACCCTTAGTTTCCAAAAGCAAGTGTGGCCCTTGTGAATTCTTTGTTCAGTCATTCAGCAAACAGCCTCTGAGCCCCCACACTGTGCTAGCAGTGACTCAGACAGAGTTCCTGGGCAGTGGGGGAGGGAGGCACAGGAATAATTACCATGTGACATGCTTAGGCTGTGCTGGGGGCCTGTACAGAGCTACAGAGCAGGGGAAGGGGAGGGGTACATCCATGGTGACCTGGGCTAATGGTCCTGGGGAGAACTTGCAGGGAGGAATGCTGTGGGAAATGTCCATGCTTAGGTCGGAAGAGCGCCTTATTCCTGAGGGTCGTGGAGCTGTACAATACTAGAGGGGAAGCCATCTTGGTTTGGCTCTGGAGGCCAAGGGATGAAGATAGCCTCTCAGGGGCCTTCCAAGGACCAGGGCTCTCTGTTTTCCGGGGAAGATCCTGTCCTTTGGACCCTACTGATTCTGATTGGAATACCTCCTTCTCTAGCAAGTGAGAGTGGCCCTATAGTTGTGAATGTCCAGTCTGGAGCACCTGTGCCAACCAGAGGTACCCTCTGTCCTGGGGATGGGCCTGCAGGCAAGGGCGGGGAAGCTCTGGACATGCTTTGAAGTAGGTCTTAGCAGTGGCCTGAATGCTCCTTGAGCCTTGCCCACGCAGCCTGACTCCATTCCCAATGCTCTTCCCTCCCCTCCCTGGAGGGCCAAAGGGTGTCCCATGGCTGCCATGGCAACAGAAGCAGGGTTGGGTTCCCTGAGGAAGGTAGCTGAGGCCTATACTGGGGTCAAAAAGCCCAGGGATGTCCCCCCATTATACCTTTCCAGGTTAGAAAATAATGTCGTCTCAGCACTCATACTTCTGCCCTTGGGTTTTCTTTTTTTTTTTTTCTTTTTGTCTTTTTTACTGACCAGTAACGGGATCGCACCCCTCGGTGTGGCGCCCGCGCCACGCTCAGCCAGTGAGCGGGAACCGGTCTCCACATGGGATCCGAACCCTCGGCGGGAGCGCCGCCGCACTCCCCAGCGGCGCACTCTCCAGTGCGCCACCGGGCCGGCCCCTGCCCTTGGGTTTTCTTTTTTTTTTTTCTTTTTGTCTTTTTTACTGACCAGTAACGGGATCGCACCCCTCGGTGTGGCGCCCGCGCCACGCTCAGCCAGTGAGCGGGAACCGGTCTCCACATGGGATCCGAACCCTCGGCGGGAGCGCCGCCGCACTCCCAAGCGGCGCACTCTCCAGTGCGCCACCGGGCCGGCCCCTGCCCTTGGGTTTTCTAATGAATCTGCTAAGGATCCCACAGCCGTTTTGGGAAACCGGGGACAAGTTTCCATCTGACCTGGTGATATACTCCAGGCAGCCCACTGTGCTGTTCCTGGCTATCTTCCTTAGTTTGATGCACTCTCCAGTGCGCCACCGGGCCAGCCCCTGCCCTTGGGTTTTCTAATGAATCTGCTAAGGATCCCACAGCCATTTTGGGAATCCGGGGACAAGTTTCCATCTGACCTGGTGATATACTCCAGGCAGCCCACTGTGCTGTTCCTGGCTATCTTCCTTAGTTTGACGATCTCAACCGCGCTCACCAGATTCACAAACACCCGAGGAACCTGAGAAAAGACAGAATCAGTTGCCAAGAGGATAAAGCTGGGAAGTTCTAGTCTCTTATCCGGGTCTGGGGCCCGCTCCTCCTGCTGGAGTTTCAGGTCGAGTTTCTGTCTGGCCCATCCACCTCGTTCCTGTGTCCTCTCTCCTCTCTGCTCCCCATTGATGCGTAAGCATTCAGGCTGCTGGCTCACAAAGGTGACATGCCAGGCTAGGTCTGAGGCCCAGGAAGGAGGACTGTGGATGAGTTGACCAGAGGCTGTGAGGCTCACTCTCCATACCTGAGCGTGGAGGAGGTCCAGAGCCGTTTTGATGTTCTCTGTGAAGTTCTCGGCAGAATATTGGGCCTGCAGGAAGAGCAAGTGTCTGCTGAACATCATTCATTACCCAATCTCTCTACAGACAGGGCCACTTCCTCTTTTGGGTCCCCTTCTTCCTGTGTATCAGTCAGGGTGGGTAATATTGACATATAGGATTTGTCTTTGGGGGCCTATCCTTGACACCAACCCCATGGTCCCTTGGGCTTCTCATGGTTGTGATTGCCAAGGAAATATCCTTTCTTTTGCATGAAGCTATGAAAAGCTCTGGATCTACTTCATATCAACTAGATGTAGAGCCTTAACCAAGGCACGTTGTCTCTCTGGGTCCCTCTGAAATGGGGGTGTTGGAGCAGAAGACTTCCAAGATCTCCTGCAACTTGAACAGTTTCTGGCCTTGTGGCCTGATCTCTTCTGCTTGGACCCTCAAGTGTCAGGGAAGCCACACCCTAAACAATTCATTGAAAGAGATAATGGGAGAGGAAGAAGGTCTTCTGAAAAACCCCTTACCCCAAGCATAAACAAATTTTAGTCGTCATTCTCTTAATACTGATATTTGCAGTTTTTAAAATTTTTTAAACAGTGGAACTCTTTCCCTGATTGAAATCTACCAAAGAGCCCTGCTCTATGAAACAGATCAAAGCCATGGCACTCAGGAGGAGTGGGGGAGGGGCCTTTAGTCCCACCTCCCCCCAGTAGCCATGAGGCATCCTTGTAGATCCTTCAGGTCACAGCTTGAAAACCCCTGGCCCCTGGTGACTTTGATGCTAGGAAAGTGGGCTGTGAGAGTCTGGGGGACAGGGTCGCCCTTCTGCGCAGATGCTCACAGGCTGCAGCAAGATCACCATATCCTATACCTTGCTCTGCTGGTCGCCTTTCTGCCTGACAAGCACCATCGTCTTCAAGTCCCAGGGGAGGAGTATGCTGCTCTGTGCAATTCTCTCTGCTGATGCCCTCCCCTACACACACCAAGATCCCACAGCGACTTTGACTTTAGACCTCCCCTTTTTGTGTGACACTAGAACCTCATCGCGATGTCTTTCTCCTGTTAGGGTGAATTGCCTGTGTCTCCCCTTGAAGACAGAGCCTGTGTTTCACATGCCACTGCCTAGCTCCTAGTGCAGAGCCTGGCCTAGGTGTGGGTGGAAGACTAGTCAGTATGACCCATGGGGGTTTTTTCAGCTCAGAGACTTGGGGGTTCCAGGAAGAAGCACAGCACCCACAGAGCAGCCTTGATCCTGGGTTTCCCAACAGCCCAGAATGACATGGCTCTGAACCTTGCCTACACGCCTTCATAACAAATCAACTTTCTCCATACAAGTGACAGCTCAAAGGTGGGATGGGAAGACTGTTAAATACTGGAGAAAGGAGCTGACATCATTATCTATGAAGATAGGCAAGATTTTTCTAGGTCATTGGAATGTTATCTTAGTTTCTAGAATGATATGATCAGGCTCCCTTGATAGGAAATATACTCAGGATTAATTTTATAACCAGTCCTGCCTGTCCTGTTGAATCTCTCCCTGGAAGTGAGTGCCCTCTCGGTTTCAGGGTTACTCTTGGGCTGGATCCGAGCCAAACCACAAGCTCAAGTCCCACCCCAGCTGCACTGCTGCAGGAGCCAGCCACTGGGGCTGTAGAAATCCTTCCCTGGGGATGAGTCTTGAGTGAAGGGTCTAGAGTCCTACCGGGTCATCGCAGGAATTACAAAGGTCATTGCCGCCTATAAATAGGGTTATTATCTTCCAATCTTCCTGAAAACGTATCCTCTAAAATGAATAGGAAACAAGCAAGTAAGCATCTTGTACCAGAATCAAGTCAAGGAAAGCATAAAGTGCTGAACACTGGAAGAGATGGGTCCTCACACACCAGCATATTTAGTGGACATTCATGTTTTCTGTTCTTTGGTTTTGGGGTCCTGAAGTCATAGATCATAGGTGCTGAATGGTTCATTTTAAGTGAAATCATTGGACTTCCATGTGGCTGTGTCCACACATGGCAGCACACAGGTCAGAGTTTCCAGCTGTCCCGGTGGGAGTGGATACAGATACCCTCTGAGTTTCGTTCCTCCATCTCTAGCATTGCAAGGAGGTGAGTAGCGGACAGGGAAGCTGGTCTTGGCCATGGAAAAGAAATCTTTGTTCTAGGATCCTCTAGAAATCTCAAATTTTAATTTTGCCTTAAGAAAGAAAAGACTGTCTTTCATTAAGTGGGAGCTCTCCAAACTCAAATCATTCACACTAGTTAAAGCTGCCCACGAACAAATAAAGCTGGAGAGACAGGTTAGAGCAAGGTGGTAGCTCTAAGCACATGCTCTGAAAACGTTTTTGCCATCTTTGGGATCTGTCTCCTCTAAGAGGGACCTTGAGGAGTATTTGAAGTCACAGGGCTGGGTGGAAGGGGTGTAGCCATACATATTCCATAGACTGTGGCCCCAGGACATCGGTGGCCCTCACAGCCTCTTATATCGTCTCCGGTCTACATAGTTTTGCTTCTCTAACTTATGCTTCTAAAAGAGGATGGGAGAAACATGAAACAAACAAACAAAAAATCCAGACAAGTTTGCCATTAAGGATAGACATATCCTGAAAATCTCCTGTAGACTTTGAAGTCCATTAAATTATATACAAAATAACTAATCCCCATGTCCCTCTTTACTTATTTTATCCACCTGGGAACAGCTCCCAAGAGAAGTCTGAATAGTCTGACCCCTGCTTTCATTGGAGGGAGAACCTCAAATTCATCTTTCAGAGCCCAGCTCAAACATCTCCTCAAAACCTCCCTGGCCCTCGCAAGCAGAGGGGCCTGTCCTTTCTTCTGCCACCCTGCTCTACCTTATACGTACCCCTCTTTATAGAGCACATGTCAGCTCTTTTATAATTCTTTTTTTTTTTTTTGTCTTTTTCCGTGTCCGGCAACGGATCGCAACCCTCAGTGTCGCCCCGTACCGGACCGGGACCGGCAACGGGATCGCAACCCTCAGTGTCGCCCCGTACCGGACCGGGACCGGCAACGGGATCGCAACCCTCGGCGTTGCTCCTGCGCCTCGCTCAGCCAGTGAGCCGCCGGTCTGTATGTGGGATCCAAACCCTCGGCAGGAGCGCCGCCGCGCTTCCCAAGTGGCGCACTATCGCAGTGCGCCACCGGGCCGGCCCAGCTCTTTTATAATTCTGATACTTCCTGTTGGGATCCCTCATAAGCTCCTTGAGGACAGGACTATATTTTATTCTTCTGTGTATTTCTAGCCTCGGCCCAGTGCCTGACTCACATAAATGATTGACTGGAACAGCTGACTTATTGACCAAATGCATGAGTGGGCAGGCATTCCTTTTGAGAGCAGCAGAGCCTCAGGATCCTGCCGTGTCTGCTAGAAACCCCTCACTCCACAGCTGACCTTCTCTGTGTCCACGGGTTCCTCCCACCCACTGCCCACTTCAGGGAATCCCACCCTGACTCCCCCAGACTCACGTTGTCATTCCTCATCCGGTCCGCCAGTCTCCTGGCCTGGGTAACTAAATCCCTGCGGGCACACATAGGAAGAAGTTGTGTGAGGAGCAGGGACTGGAAGGCTGGGGCCAGGTGGGGAACTTGCAGAAAGAGCAGGAATCAAATATATAGCAGAGAAGGGCCCAATCAAATATATAGGAAGGAGGAATCAAATATATAGGCAGGCGGGCTTCTGCAGGAAAATGGGACTGAAGACCAGGACCCAGAGCTCCTTCCCCATTCAGACTCCACTGGGGGTGGGACTGGGGGTGGGGTGGTGACTGTGCTTGGGAAGGACAGAGCACTGCACATATGAGGGACGACTCTAAGTGTGACTATTTTGATGGGCACATGTGATGATCTACTTTTCTTTCTCTTCCAGCCAGGCTTGTTCAAGACAGACAGAAGGACTGCATGTGAGTATTTCATGTCACGCATGGCTCAGCATGTGCCTATCTTGGCAGGGACAATGACCTTAGCCCCTCACCCTCAATGTGACATGGTCAAATCAGATGCACCTGGGTTGCTAACTTAGTCGTCTCCTGCTGACTATGGGAAAGTCACTTACATTTTCAGTTAAAAACGAGTGCAAACCCCAGCTGTATTAGAGGGCCACCGAGAACAGTAAATGAGATGGGTAAGTCAGGCCCGAGGAGTAAGAGCCACCACTGGTGCCAGACCGCATGGGTTGAATCCTGGTTCCACCACTGACCAGCTCAGACCTTGGCAGAGCACTTCACCTTGGAACCCTCAGCTTTTCCCTTTGTGAAATGGGGATGGTAAGCGTTCCTTCTTCATGGGGTGGCTGGGAGAATTAAATGAGGTGTCCTACCAAGAGTTAAGAATGGTGCCTGGACCATCACCACCACCATCATCAATAAAGTCCCTGGCATGGTGCATACCAGGAAACATTAGTTGTCATCCTCTTCCCCTCTTAGCTATTAGGCCAAAGGGCCTGATCTTGGTCATAGTACATGAGGTATCATAACCTGGGTGGGGACTTTGGTAAGTCAGTTAACCTCTTTGAGCCTCAGTTTCCTCATCTGTAAATCTGAAGTTATCAGGGCAACTGCTCTGTCTGTGGACCAGAGTTTGGGGATGATTACTCGACCTCTCTGAGCCTCAATTTATCATTCATAAAACAAGGGAATCTGACACTCTGTTCTGTTCATCTCATAGAATTATTGTGCAGAGCACAAGGGATGATAAACATGAAGGTATTTTGTAAGTTGTACACTACTGTGTATGTATGAGGGGTTATTACTGAACCTGGAAAGAAGCCTGCAGGCTACAAGGACAGACCATGGGATCAAGTCAGTGCACTTGTTCAGACCATTAAGCCTCTTGATGTTATAGTTTCTTCAACTATAATATGGGAATAATAATCCCCAACTCTTCCCTACCTCCCAGGATGTGCTTGGATTGTTTGCATCAAAAAGCCCAAGGCCACAGGAAAATCAGGGACAGAAATCCAGGGCCATATGAGTCACACTCATTTTGGTTACTTTTATACTCTCAATCTGAAGGTTTCATTCTTGGATGCCTGCCTGACCTAATCATTCTTTGAACTGCCTCTACTCTTATATTACCAGGTGATGGATGCTTGGGAAAAGCAAAATTATGGTCATATTAAAGTAAGCCAAAAATTGAAAGCAGTAAATGGGTAGGCTTTCACCCTTACCCTCACCAAAAGGAAATCAAACCCACAGAATTTATTATAAAACCTCGTAGGCTTTGTATGATCCACTGCTTTGGATATTCTGTGTCACCTTTCCTGTCATGGATAAATTCGAAAGCTACTTAGGTGGCCCATATCCTCAGGATGGTGTTGAGAGCTGGGAGAATGTCAGAAAATCTAGAAACCAAACCATAGGAATCCTACCAACTACCTGATAAAGTGAGGTTTGTGATTATTCTAGAAGAAAAATAGGATGAAGCTATTTAATCCTATTTTAAAGATCTTAAAGGATTTTTCTATTCATTTTCCCTAGATGGGGTGTGGTATTCACTCGTTCTCTCATCAGGCAGCAAACCCCAAGAAGCACTCAAGGGTCTGAAATCTTGGAGTGCGATGGAGCTGTAGGACCCAGGAAAGCTGACCTGCCTGCTCTTGAGACCAGCCACTCAGTGCCCACAGACCATGACACAGTGATCTCTGTGCTCATTCGCAGTTTCCCCAGGTGGGCCCGGAGATATATAGTGAGACATTATTATTATTATTTGCATTATTATGGAGACCACCATCCTGACCCAACATGGGTACACTACTTACAGCTCACTAGAACTTTCACAGCTGAAAGGGCATTTGAGCCTCCTCACTGGCTTGTGAGAGAGATTGGCAACCAGCCCTGTCTCTTAGAGTCTGAGGCTTAGAGAGGTCAGGGAGGAAGTCGGGACTCAGACTGAGAGCTTCCCCACCCAGATTCCCCTTTCCATGACACAGAAAGGATACAGAGTATAGAGCCTGAGCAGAGCAATAACATCATAATGGCAACTGGGAGGGACTCTTACAACCACTGTCCTACGTGGACATGAGATATACAGACCAGGCAAAGTAATTTGCTCAAAGCATATGCCTCACGTCAGAGTCAACTGTGACTAGTGCCTGGGGTGGGGTTGGGAGTAGGCTAGAAGATTTCTGCATCTAATAGCAAAAGCTAACCCCAAGAGAGCCCATTCCAGCCCTTGACCCTCAGGCCCCTTCCCTGAACCAAGCCCCACAACCTTCAGCATAAACTCCAGTCTAGACCATGCACCCCTTCGGGTCCCCAGAGGGTGTGTGCTGGTCATCCCTGCGGTGCCCCTGCTCACTCAGATCTGGCTCCTGCCCTGGCTTGGTTTAAGAAGGCTCCAGGAGTGTTTTCACTTCCAGTGCCAACAGAGAAGCCCTTCAGGGAAGGGTTGAATTCCCGGAGGATGTCTGGAAATACAAGGAACAGACATGCTTAGTAACTACCCCAAAGCAATCTTCAAGTTACTTTGATAAACACTAGTGGGTGTTGGGGGCAAAGCAGAGTCCCCAGCCCACAGTCCTTACTCTTACCCTTTGCATTCACTCGGTATGGAAATAAAATGTTCACAGGCTGATGCTTAACCACATGGATTCCCGGAGGATGTCTGGAAATACAAGGAACAGACATGCTTAGTAACTACCCCAAAGCAATTTTCAAGTTACTTTGATAAACACTAGTGGGTGTTGGGGGCAAAGCAGAGTCCCCAGCCCACAGTCCTTACTCTTACCCTTCGCATTCACTCGGTATGGAAATAAAATGTTCACAGGCTGATGCTTAACCACATGAGCAACACACCAATAGATGCTTAAGAAATTATTGTCAAATACATGTCAGTCTGGGTGAGGTGCTTCTCTCATGAATTCTTCTCTTTCTCTAAATATATAATAGCTTTACTGAGATATAATTTATGTACCATAAAATTCACCAATTTAAAGTGTGTGGTTTGATAGTTTTTAGTATATTCATACAGTTTTGCAACCATCACTGCCATCAACTTTAGAACATTTCATCACCCCAGATGAAACCCTGAACCCATTAGCAGTCACTCACCACTCCCTCCAATCCTGTGCAACCACTAATTTACTTTCTTGTGATTATTCTAGAAGAAAAATAGGATGAAGCTATTTAATCCTATTCTTCTATCTGTCTCTATAGATTTGCTTATTCTGAACATTTCACATAAATAAAATCACATAACACAATATGTCTTCTGTGGCTGGCTTCTCTCACTTAGTGTCATGTTTCCCACATTCGCCCACGTAGCAGGCATCAGTGCTTCATTCCTTTTGTTGCTGAATAACATTCCATTGTATGGATATTCCACACTGCATTCATTCATTCTTCAGTTGATGGGCACTGTCGTTTCTAATTTTTGGCTATTATAAGCAATGCTGCTATGAACATTTATGTACAAGTTTTTGTCTGGATTTCTTTTGGATATATACCTAGGACTGGAATTACTGGATCATATGATAACTCTGTTTAGCCTTTTGATGAACTGTCTGGACTTTTCCCCAAACAAGCTATACTATTTGACATTCCCGCCAGCAGTATATGAGGGCTCCAATTTCTCCACATCATCATCAACGCTTGTTATTATCTTCTTTTTATTATAACCATGCTAGTGGATGTAAAGTGGTATCTCATCATGGTTTTGATTTGCACTGATGGCTACTGATATTGAGTATATTTTCCTGTGCTTAGTGGCCATTCATATACCTTCTTTGGAGAGATGCCTATTCAGATCCTTTGCCCATTTTTAATTGGGTTAACTTTTTATTACTGAATTTTAAGAATTCTTTATATTTTCTAGATATGACGGTATTTCAAAAAGTTTGTGGAAAAATAGAATTAAAAGATAATACAATCTTTTCATGAACTTTTTGAAGTACCCTTGTACAAGTTTCTTATTAGATATATGATTGGCAAATATTTTCTCCCACCCTTTGGGTTGTCTTTACTTTCTTGATGGTATCTTTCTTTTGTTTTTCCTTTTTGTCTTTTTTTACTGACCGGCAATGGGATCGCAACCCTCGGTGTTGCGCCCGCACCGCGCTCAGCCAGTGAGCGGGAACCGGTCTCCACATGGGATC